AGAAAATAAGAGTAACCTGCATTAAACATTATTTTTAGATACCAGCTGTGACAGAACCGCCTAATTTATACAAGATTAAGTATGATTGTTCCCGTTAAACATGTTGGCACACGCATACCGTCACTTATATAAACCCGGTAGTCCATCGAGTACCACGAAGGCCTCGATAAATCAACTTCACAACCAAGATCGTACTTATTAAGCAAATACATATCATATACACGGAGTTTGTAACGAAAATAATATTACAATAGGGTCACAAGTAATTAATACAAGTTCAGTTTCAAATTCAATAGGTTAAAACAACATAACTTTGAAATGATTACCAAATCATAATTTTGAATCATATTGCTAGCTCTGATGACACCCTCCAACAAAAGCATAGGTGAGAAGCAAATACAGAATAGCCGAGCCCAACGGCACTTAGTCACCACCTTCAGCAGACACAGCACTTCACCTGCAACAGGGTGGGATAAAACCCCGAATACTCAATTCTACTCGGCAAGACTTACCCGATAGAAGAAAAATAAAGATTCCAAAGATATGTGTGGTTTATTTGGTGGAGCTAGTTGATAGCATAATCTTTTGCAAAAGAGCTTACTATGTAAGTTCTTATTTTTAATATTTTAGCATCAAGTTCAGTGAAGCCAATTATAGCTAAGTTTGCATCTATCCTGTAACAATCATTTGATTAATGAGTATCATAGTAGTAACCATATTAAATTGTCATGATCAACAGAACCATCATGTTTCATCAATTACTACGACTGCCGGAGCAAGCTATGAGTTTCTCACTATCCGGGAGAGACGGCGATTTGAATCGATTACATCCAGCTAGCCAATCCCAAACACACACCCATACGAGCCCACATTAGCTCGCGTGGGTCACCGTTCACTCCATTCAACGGTGAGTCTAGACCGTTTCGCAAAACTCATGATCCTGCATCCTCACATGAATTGCCCAAAGCCTAAAGCCCATAGCAAACATGGTCCTGGACCAGTCCCCTTCCTTCAGGCTCTCCTCCTAGCAATGCTAACGGTCCAATATACTCAGCTCGAATGAGCTAATCGGCTTTAGGGTCAACTATAACTCAGGGCCCTATTATGTGTTTGGTACCTTCATTCTCAACCAAGGTCCGACAATAAAGCGGTCCTTAAATGACATAGACGGGATCAAAGAATACATGCCTAGTCGGCATCAACAATAACCATAATAGCACTGGATCCCGTCCGGTCTCTAGTTATCCATTATCACCTGATTCTTTTCCACGATAGCAAATATAGCCAACCGTGTCAGAGTAGCCACCTATGTCTCGTAGGTGACAGGAATCACCCGACTTCTACCGGTCTAAGCATAGCTAAGCATAGAGCGACCTATACATACTAGTAAGGATACAGGTATATATATTGTAGACAAGGTAAGACATGCAGCAACGGGTTTCAATTCAACTCCTATACTTAAAGCACAATACAAAATATAAACTCAAGTGTATTTTAAAAGAGAGGTAGGAGGCTTAGAATGCTCCGGGGCTTGCCTGGGGTTCAACACTAGGTCAGTGTTTGTTAGATGATATTCACTTGGTGAGCATCTCTTGCCCGACATGTATTCCCGGGGTCCTCCCATCTTTTGGATCCGTTCACCAACATCGCTTTTTGGTTGGTTTCAGCACCACATTCTTCACCCCTTTCGTCATACATCTAGCGTACCTATATAATATTTGCAAAGATGCAATGCATGCATATGAGAAAGAACAAAACCAAAACATCACACGATTGCAAACAAGGACAAGTATAAGGTGATAACAAAATTGACCTAGGCACATGAATGAATAAGGTGTCAACTAAACATCACACGAATTTGTCATGCTAAGATAGCAATAAGACAACACCGTAACATTTATCTATCGAGAACTAATTAAGTTTAGTATCAAACAAAAGCACTAGGGTTGATGTGGGTAACACTAAATTTAGCCATGTCAATCTTGAAGGTTCTACTACTAAACATACATCATAGAAATGGCAAGATGGTAATCAAATTTTAATTCTTTTTACCTTCTAGGTGCATATCTCTTTTCCAGTAGAGAAGACAAAGATTCTAATTCACATAAAGCGCACTAGTTTCAAATATGTTTAGCATATCAACAGGGGTTCACAAAACACCATAGCATGATCATCAATCATTTATCAAAAAGAGAAAAGTTGGGCAAGCATCAAGTAGCATGCATAGATAAGTTTGAAATTGCATTCCTTTTCTATCATTAGCATATTCATCTTATGTTTATATAATTAACAATGTACAAAAAGGAAAAAGGCCAGCTGCTGTATAAATTTAATTCCTAGAAAAATACAACAGCACACATGCTGTGAATAGCATATCACCTAAATTTCCTCACACACACACAATTTAGGATACAAACAATACAAGTTAAACATATAATTTACTAGGAAAACAGTACAACGTATAAAAGTTGGCCAAACAGCAGAGATTATATTTTTCTGAGCTGGAGTAAGTCACTAGAAAATCATGAAAATTGGTTTCATGAATTTTTGATACTTATGGCCCAAGATATCATTTTTGGAAGCTAAAAAGGTATTATTCTAGGTAAATAAAAATAGTAAATAAAAAGTTGTCAAACAGAAAATTTTATGAGTCTAACATGTAGAGCACAACAAGACAAAAATAACAAAATTAGTTTCACCCAATTTAGATCTCCCTAGCACAAGTTATAAATTTTACAAGTTTGAAACAAATTCTGAAAACAAAAACAACAAAAACCACCCTAACTGCCGCTAGGAGCACCCGGTCCATGCACCCAGAGTGACTGACATGCGGGGCCCTCGGTTAGCCTGGCCCCACTTGCCATAGGGATAGAGCAGATCCGCCCGATCAACAGGCAAAAGCTCGTCGTCGGCGAGGTTGCCGGCGACGGGACCACCACCGTTGGACTCCTCGTCTCACTCCGCATCTAACGAGGTAGATTAAGTTGGGGCGCTCGACTCCTAAGCTAGGCAGTGGCGCTAGGAGCGGCGCGGTGGTGCTAAGTCAGGCGGCGGCGGCGGACTCACCGTCTCCGGCCAAGGTTTGGCCGGTGGCCACGAGCATGGGCTCCAAGGAGTTCGCACGGGGATCTAGGGGTTAGGGTTAAGGCTCGGCAGGGCTGCAGCGAGGCATGGCCGCACGCATGGCGACGCGACATCCAGAGCACGACGATTGCGCGTGATGTTCTGGCGAAGCTGATGCTTGAAATGTTCAACGATCAAGCGGTTAAGCAATTGCGGTTCCTGGTGAAGCTAAAACAAGGAGAAGAAAAAGAGAGATATGGACGCGCTGGCCACGGCGAGTGTGAGCTCGGCGGCCATCGCCCATGGCGGTGGCATTGGGCCGGGAGCACTCACCTTACGACGAGGCACGGCGTAGCTGGGTGGGGAAGGAAGGGCAGTGCATGGCGCAGCGACTGGTGCAACGAATTGAGCGGGGGTTGAACGGTGACGACGAATTTGATTGATGAGCATAGGAGGGCGGCGGCAACATAGGAGGAAGCAAAGGAGGAGTTATCAGTGTTGGGAGCATTAATTGGGCGTGGCAAGGCTTCTCCAAGTTTGACAGCGTAGCTCAGCCCCTGTTCATGGTGATGGCGTGGCCTAAACAGCGAAACGCTGAAAAGGTGGCCGTCGGCGGCGGCATAGCAGCCGAGCAGGCTGCTGCCAACCGACCACTGCTCACCGACTGACAGTGCCTCTCCCTCTCTATTTTTCTCTCAAACCATTCATCCTGGGTTAAAACTCCATTACTAAAAGTTATAGAACTAAAAGGGATCTCCAACATTGCTTAAATGAGTATCCACAGAAACTCACAGTATGGAAGGTTTTGAATTTTGAAAACCTAACCCTAAAACTAAAAAACTGCATTCAGTTTACGGTGCTAGAAATGAATTGATTTGCTACTTTGGGCAATTAATTAATAGCCAAACATTGATCAAACAATCCAAGCAATAGCTCAATATCAAAGTGCAAATATCACACCAATTCATAGAAGCAAAGTTGCACAAATTTTATTTATGAAAATTGATTTAATAATTCACCAAATATTGAACTGAATTACTGATATTCAAGGACTTCCAAAGATTTTTGGAAAGCTAAAATAGCACTGCATTCAAACTTGTGATCACTGTTTGGACAGGTTAGAGGTTGATTTAGGCTTGGGTCCAAAAACAAAATTTGTTGTACACAAACTAAACTACAACTTTTATTAAAGGCCAAACCTCAAAACTGGAACAGAAACTAAAGTTCTATATTGACCAAAGCAGCAACATGAAAAGGTTTAACCTAAGAGTTTTAGCTATTTTTTTAGCATTTTCTTCACATTTTCCAAATATAAACCCTAACTAACTTTTGTTCAAGAGTTAAATTAGAGTTGTTTGAACATGAATGCAAGGTTTAGTTGACATCGCATGTTTCTACTCAATTAACAAAAGTGTTTTTAAGCAAAGCAGAAATTATCACTTCATATAACTTTTTGATCCAAAACAACATGCAACTTTTCATGTGACCAAAATATGTTCATGATTAGGTGATGCACATGAAAAAACATGATTAAAACTAGTCATGCACATTTTGAAATAAAATTTACTTTTGAACAAAAGAGTTTTGTCTTTGCCTTTGAAAAGTTTAAGTTAGGTCTCATTTGAAAGAGTTTTACTCCACATCTGTCACCACTTGCCAGGTGTCAAATTAAAGCTCATAATCATCCTTTGACTTGCCTGGATTAGACTGAATCAACTGCTTAACTTAAAACTGACACCTGAGGTGTCACATTGACTACGGATGGATGACATGTGAATTTGATGACATGGGGTTAGCTGATGGAGTAGCTAATTCCTTATTGCATATTTGGATGGAAAAGTTTGGTAGGATTAATAACCAACTCTCACTTGTGTTATTGGGCCGTATAAATTCGTGTCAACCATGAACTCGTTTGGGACGGACCGATTCTAGTACCCATGGATTTGTTGTATAATCCCTATGGTAAGTGAGGAGAGGGTTGGGTGATGAAATCCCCAATCTGGTGTCGATGAAGTACACCCAGGCGCATATATTAGCGCACGTGGATAGATGTAGATGTATAATTATACAAAATGGGAAAAGTTCGATATCTTGACCATGAGTTGCACCAAAGGAAGTGCGATGGAAAATTGGTCAAGGTAATTATGGCTAAAGTGATACAAACCTGCGTAGCGTTAAATCATGAATTCATGTCATGTCTCTTGGATTATAGGCTACGGGAACCTATGGGTGGATCTTTCTAAAGATACAAGTGATAGTAGTGTTTTTAAATTAAACTCGACTTTTCTACAAATGTTATTTTGAACAACAAGATGATATATTATTGATCATTTGAGATGACCAGATCGCATTGCTTTGATATATATATATATATGCTTGCTGAGTATGTTGTACTCACTCTTGTTAACTCTCCCTCTTTAGAGAATCCCCAAGAGTGTGCTCAAGGGTCTCTAGACGATGGTTGTGCCTATGCAGATTGGGATGACTATGAGGAAGCTAGTCGAGTTGCTACCACCTTCTATGGTGGATGGGATAAATAAATGATTCCTCTTAGTTCAGTTATGTATGTCGGTCAGCTAACACCTCGCCTGGCATAATTAAAAGTATGCTCCCAAGGGTTCGTACTATTGTTCGTTTCAGACCTCAGGTACTTAACTCTGAGGACAGTGAATGTGAGATGACTGATATTCCCTGGAAAAAAATATCTGATATTCCCTGTGCAAATAGACAAGCACATAGAAGGAGGTCCGAAGGATACAAAGTAAAAAAGATTGATGTTACAAAACGGAGAACTGTGCCGATACAAGATTCTAACTCTGTTTGTGGAGTGGTGCTGGTAGATGGTTCTTCTTGTCTGGAGCACCCAGTTCATGGAAGAAAGAGGTGCAGCTTACACAAAGGTAAAAGAGTCAAAGGCAACCCAAAAGGTTCTCCTACTAGCTATCCTTGCCAAGTTGAGATTGCAATTACTGAGTTCGTACCTCGCCCAACTGAAGATTTGGACAGCTCAGTTCCCAAACAGGAAAGCGAAATATTGCCCAAAAATATGTCTATAAGAACTCTTAAGGAACCTTTGAGGGAAAGCAATAGCTTGGAATCAGAAAATGTGAATACTGGAGAAGCTCCTACAGAAGATGGAGCACGTGAAATCTCCAAGGATGCTTGTGCCTTAGAAGAGAAGGCTTCCCATGCTGAATCTGAGTCTCAGGAGCAGCAGCCTTCTGGGAGAATGTGGTTTGATCTGCTCAAATCACAGAGGAAATCGGCGAGCGCACACCCATCAAGAGGCTCAGGATCTCAGATAACAGCAATGACAGATAACAGGCCTTGCAAAATGGTGTCAATTGCAGGAATGGAAAGGTGTGAGGAGGACAGTGGAATAGAGGCCACTGGTGCTTCGTTTTCCAGAAGCTCAGGATGGCCGTGTACCTGTGGCGCCCGTACATCAGATGGTTCACCTTGTATGAATAGGCCGGTTGAAGGGAGGAAGAGATGTGCATTGCACAAAGGGCAAAGAGCAGCATGCCCCCCTACACCATCGGTATAACAGACAGGACTTTTTTTTTTATTCTTACATCCAATTGTTGTGTTCGCACTTCTGTTAGCAAATTGAAACACAGAAATCTTTTTTTCCTTAAAGCTCTTTTTCCCCGGTGAAGGTTGATCATTCATATTTCATCATGTGTCCCAAAAAGACTACAGACATTTTGTAACTGTATTTGATGGATTCGTAGAGAGCTGAAGAATGAATCCCTTATGCTGAGCATTGCTCATCTGATGGGCTTAATTTCTCCATATTCTACATCATTGATCACGCCAGTTTTTAATGTTTTGCGCTTCAGTAAGGCTACAGAATTGTACGCACCGCCGGCAAGCTCACCGGCGACCTCCACGCGCCACCCACCCACCCTCTGCGCGCACCGCCGCCCATGCTGCCCTAGTGCCCCCACACCCGTCTAGCTCCGTGTTGCCGGCGAGCTCCGAGCTGCCGGCGAGCACACCAGTGACCTCCACGCGCCGACGAGCCTCCACTCGCGAAGCAGCAAGGAGATGTTTGTATTGAAAGAACATGTTGTAAACGTATAATTCAAGTGTTTCAAAGGTATGTTGCAAAAGGAGATCGAACGTTGCACATGTTGCAATGACACAATACACATGTTGTAAGTTTATGTTTCAAGTGTTTTAGGTGTTTCAGACATATGTTGAAAATGTTTCATCTGGATGCTTCAAAAATAGATCATGATGTTGCACATGTTCAAATAGCTATACACGCATGTTTCAAGCGCATGTTTAAAGTGTTTTATCTGTTTCAGACGTACGTTGCAAATGTTTCATCTGGATGTTTCAAAATTAGATCTGGTGTTACACATGTTGCTATTGCTATACATGCATGTTTCAAGCGCATTTCATCCGTTTTCAGACGTATATTGCAAGTGTTTCATTTGGATGTTTCAAAAGTAGATCTCGGGGAAGCACATGTCGTTGCTGCTAGTGTGTCGTCGTGGGTCACCGTGCAAGCTTGTTGGTGGTGGTGCTTCTTGCGTGTATGCGGGCATGTGAAACGGAGCGGGCTCGAGTGGTCCCCCCGCATACGTGGGCCCGCGAGGCCTCCAGATCGTGATAGGTGCGGGGCGAAGGAGCTGCATGTGCGGGAGCACCATCCGACGCTAAGCGTTCTGGATCGGCCGTCTGGACACAAGTCCGTTTTTTAAAACTTATTTTTTCTTTTGTTCACCTCTGCCTTCCTTTTTGATTTTTTTTCTATCACGCAAAGAGATTGTGGCATCTTCTTATTAAGGTAGAAAAATTATTCGATACAACGTGTTTTAACGGCGTCCTAAGGTCACTAAAGTTTTACACGAACGTCAGACCCTCCGCCCCTGCTTCCCTGGATCATCAACGAGGCAAAATCGTCTATTTTGATGGGTTTGATGGCCCAGACGGCCAGACCAACGCCAGACGGCAGACGCAGCCCCATTTGGCAGAAGATTTCACGAATTTGCAGAAAATTAGTTTGACCATATAAAGTTCTCATGGGCCTGCGGATTCCAAATTTGAAAGCATCATCTGCCCGAGCGTCCGCACGCACCGCATTGGCCACCGGAAAAACGCCGAGACGATTGCAAGACGCAGCCTTCGCCTTCGCTCCACCCATCATCCATCGCCCCGTGCTCGCACGATGCTCCAACCCCAACTCCTCCGACCCCCACGCCTCTCCCTCGCCGACCCCGTCTCCACCGACATCAACTGCAGCCGTGGCGGCGGCCGCCGCCGCCCGAAGCCCAAGACCAAGACCATCGCATTCCCGCCCATCCGCCGCCTCGTCTCGACCTCCCTGCGCCGCCTGCTTCCCCGCCCACGCCCCCTCATCGTTCTTCCCGGCGGCGGGGGCGGCGGATGGTTTAGGTTGGGCAAGAGGAGAAAGACATCGGCCGAGGAGGTCGCGGCGGTCGCCCTCGCCCTGGTGCTCGGCGGCCACAGGCTCGCTGCGCTTGCGGAGGCCTGGAACGTGTCCGGCCTGGGCCAGGTGCTCGACGTATGGGCAAGGGTGTTGGGGAGAGGGCGGAGCAGGCGAGGCGACGGGCTCCGGCGGCTCGCGGCGTTCCTCCTCGGCGTCGTGGTGTGCGCGCTCGTCTGCCACACGAGGGGCGCGGCGTTCTTGGAGGTCTTCCAGAAGACCGGCGGCGGCCGGAAACTAATGCGGATTTTCCTGCATTGATGGATTTCTTCATTTTTGTTCGTCTGCTTGAGAAGTTAGATTGAGATGCTTTTATTCTCAAAAAAAAAAAAATTGAGATGCTTTACCTCATCAGAGTTGGAGGTTCTTTGATGATGCGGATGGATAGTGTTCCCGTTCTTCGGAGTTGGGATGCCGATTTTTATTTTATTTTTGGAAATGTGGATGCCGATCTTTATTGTTTTTTTTTTTTTTAAAAATGTGGGATGCCGATTTCGTAAGACGTTGGACTGTTGATACGATTTGATAGTTCCTGCAATCCTGTTGATTTTGAGAATTTTGGGCCGATTTGGTAGCTCTGTGGCCAAGACAGCTTCAGCTGTGACTTGCACTGTGGAGCCACAAAACAGCTTCAGCCGTGACATAAGGTAGAGCAGCTTTGCTTTACTGTTGTTTCTCTCGAACTGATTTTGGTCATTCTGGTAAGGAGTACCATGCGATATTCTCATGAATGATCATTCACTGGCTTCGAAGAAAACGATCCATAATATAGGTAATCTGGGATAGCTTCTAAACCGAGGCCTTGTTTCTAACATATAGCGTAGCGCTAACAGGATTATGAGTACATCTTTCCAGACCCTGTGAATCGCACTTAATATACTAGATAGCTTGGCTCTTGAGATACAAATGCTATCTTGCAGCAGGCTGTCAGCAGAGCATTAGTTGCTCTTGTGCCTAAAACCTACAAATTACAATCCTACAGGGCGGTATCTGAGGCCAAAAAAGTGTCCCGGGAATTGTTACCAATGTCTCAACATCAACCTAGCACATCACTGCATAGATAAGTTATCAAAGATGTTATGATTGAACAATGCGTTAGCCATGATGCCGGGAGTCAAGAGTTGTTATCGCTGCACCAGGATGCTATTGCAATCTTTTCTTCTTGCTTTGCCTTGGGTCCTCATCAAACACAACAAGCTCGTCGTCGTCGTCGTCTTCAACAACTTGAGCGCTGCTGGATCCAACATCCGAAGGATTTTCATGAGCATCAAAATTCTCCTTTGCCTCTAATATTTCGTTCAGCTTACGCTTCATTCCAGGCTTCGCTGATATATCCTCAGCAGTACCATCAACATCTTCTGTATTGGATGAAGATGGAACTGGTCTATTCTCACCATTACTGGTAATTTGCTTATCAACTGGGCCAGACCACCCAGCAAGAACCATTCCGTCAGGCTCCTTCTCTTCATCAAACTCATCCCTGCATGGACTATTCAATTGATGAAGATACAGAATTGTGTATCGGCGCAATAGTATGGAATGGCAGCATTTTGTGTCTGTAGGACACAAGCAATTTGGCATCCAGTAATCATAGAAATGGAATATCTCAATATGTATCAAGCATATAAGCAAGGTTAATTCAAAATAAGGGCAAGTTACACAATACCATGCTGCTCCAGTTTCTGTAGATGAGTGTAAGGTATGGCATATCTCATTATGTCTCTAGCATAGAAGCAAGGTTCATTCAAAATAAGGGCAAGCTACATAATACCATGCAGCTCTAGTTTCTGTAGATGAGTGTAAGGTATGGCATATCTCATTACATATCTAGCATAGAAGCTAGGTTAATTCAAAACAAGGTGCAACAAGTTACATAATACCATGCAGCTCTAGTTTCTTTAGATGAGTGTAAAGGTACACAGGCCAACCACCAAGGTTTCCAAAGAAATGGAACCATGAAATTATAGGGTGCATAGTCAACAGAAAGAAGAAAAGAAGAACCTGTGTTTGATGTTGATACTGCATTTGAGTTCCTGATGCAAATCCTCGACTGTAAGCGTTGTACCATTTAGAACTGGAGCTGGAAGTTCAGCCAGGACCTGCAATAATGGATCAACTAAGCAGGGCATAAACACAACTAAGGGCTGAAAGCTTAAAATTTAAGTTTATACAAATACACTAAACTGATCATGAACACAACAAAGGGCTGCAAAAAATTTTAAGAAACAAGAATTTTAGAATATATGCCACAGTGCATACAAATGACTTTTCTTGAACAGGAAAATTAACTTAGAAAGTATCACAGCACCTTTTCGAGGTTTAAAGCATAATTTGCAATCTCATCCTCCTCCAAATCTTCACCATCCTCAAAAACAAGTGTGGCGCCAACCATTATCAAAGGGAGGTTCATTCCAAGTTTGCTTTTTATAACTTTTTCAATGACTTCCCGGAGCTTTGTTGTCTTAGAATTAACCTCCAGCACAAGTGGGGTCTGTTGCGTTCAGTTTTACTTCATGTCAGTGCCGAAGAAACAGATAAAATGTAACAAAAGCCTAACTCGATAAGTACATACCTCAGAGCAGACATAGCATGATTTACTAGGTTCAAAAGGCTCGACAGGCATCAAGAGCATCTTCCTTGCTGGATGCTCAAGACAATACGTCATTCTGTAAAACATGAACCATGAAGTTACATTACTTCTATTTTATACATGCCCAAAAACCAATAGGAAAGCAACAAGATAAATTATATACAATGACAAACTGATAAAGAAAACAAGTTCCGTTTTAGTCTAAATTTCACAACGTTGACTGTTCAGAAGCAAGCATAAACAGAAACTAAGCATTTGACATGAACAGCAAATCTTAGATAGAAACCGTTGGTGCAAGAAATACAATGTGACAGGTTTAGAATGTGGTTACCTATAACCTTGATAATCACCCTTGAGCACTTTAATTGCTTCGATGACGATTAGACCAGCTATTATAGCATTAGTAGTTGCCACAGCATGAACTATATTTCCAGCAACACCTTTAGCTTCGAAAAGGCTATGCAGTGGTATTCCAAAAGAAGAAGCTCTGATATTTGCTGCAGCAGTAACAAACTCGACAGCCAATTGGTCATCCTTGTCAAAAATAAGGCTACCTATTTCCTGAAAGAGAAAATCAAGCCTGGGTTAATTTCTATATAAAGAAAAACTTTAAGATGTCATACAACTCAGAAAAGAAAGCATATGAACCTTCTCTCTTTTCTCAAAAAATAATTTTAAAGCCTCCAAGAACACTCTTGAATTATCAGCAAGACTCCATATCTCTTGTGAATTTCTAAAGCCTAGGGATACCATAGCAGACGGATCCTGCTCGTCATTCATGTGATCCTGAGAACGACCATTTTGCTGAACAGCACCTTCAGGCAATGCATCTCTAATGTATATTGGGTCTGGCTTTCTCTGATTCTTCCAAGTTTCCTTATTATCCAAGGCAACTTCAATGTTGTAACCAAA